GCTTGGCCGCCTGCGGCTGTGGCGAGGGGTGCCCGCCCGCCCGCTGGGGCCGGGCTCTCGGTCTGCCGGGTACAGAGCTCAGCCCTGCGCAACTCGGGCAAAGGGTCTTAAATTCACGGCTTGTGAGGTTTCCTTATGAAGACGGGAATAGGAAAAGCAGGGAAAACCGTAAATCAGCTGGTCTGGGTGCGTCTTAGGCAATACCGTGTTCATACGAGTGTGTGTTCAAACTCCTGGCGCTCTTTTGACCTCGTGGAGCAGGTCAAGAGTGGACATTTAGTAATATTTAAAAAAATAAACCCCATAGCACAAGTGCTGCCCTACAGCTTAAACTGTAGCAGCAGAACTGGCTGTCTAGGGTCAGAGTGAGGTGGAATTTTAATCTGATTCCAGGAAACGAACCTGATTAACCCATCGATTTACTTCCTTGCTGCTGTTTGGCATTCTCACAGTGAACATCTTTCCACCATAGAAAAAGACACCAACGGAGATGCTTTGTGGGTTTGGTGTTATCCATCCGTAACAGCTGAACTGAGGAGTCTATTGCTGCGCAAGTGCTGCCTTACAGATGAAAATAAACTGCTTCACACGTTTGTATTTGGCCAGTATAAAAGGTCATGGTTCTACATCACAACTGTGGAAGTTCAAGATTCTCCAGCCTTGAAAAAGGTAGGACTTGTCCCATTGGGTTCTTGGTAGAGTGCAGGGAAAACTTCTGCAGAGCTTCCTCTGGCAGTTTAACCGGCATTTTCCCATTGTATGCTGTGAGAAAGGGAAGGGATTCGAGGTTTTGTGTGCTCTCAAATGCAGCTGTCTAGCCAGTCCACATGGTAAGGTTTTCACCACGATGTGTATTGGGTGGAGGTGCAGAGAGATTGAGATATTAATTACACAATTTAGATTCTGTGTATTCAAATAGAGATGCTATTTCACACCATTATTTCTTGTTATGTTGCATTTCAAGATCAGCAATTTTCTTTCTATTGTCAAAAGAGCTCTACAAAGGGTCTTTCATAGTGTCCCACATCTTGTTTGTATAGAACTTGATGGTTTTTTTTTTCCAAAGGGGTGAGTTCTATAGGTACTTTCTTTTCTGCTGCATCGATAACTGGAAGACTGCAAATATGCTTGTATCTTCCATACTTTCCCAGTTATGAAGATCATTAAATTGTCTGTTAAGTTTATCAGTTTTCATATTTTGTATTATATTGTTAAGTAGAAAGATAATGTGGTAATTTTGCATGCCCACAGCAGAATATTGCTTGCCTTTCCTCACTCCAAGCTTACTTGTCCTATGAAACTTAAAGGTGTAAAAAAAAAACAACCAACCAAACAAAACCAACCAAACGAAAGACCTGTGTCCTAGTGCTGTCTCTGACAGTGGCAGTGGGAGATGCTACTTAAAGAGGACACGTGAGCCTCTGCTCATTGTCTGCAGACTTAAAGCCTCATGCTGTCCCAGACCACAGTCATTTGATTAAGGAAGTTAAAGAGTATTTCTGGTTTTGGGCCTGCTATCCGTGAATTTTTTTCCAGTTTCTTTCAAAATATGTTAATGCCGTCTATCTCCACAGGCTCCTTTGCCAAAAAAATCTGAAAGTTTTGTATCCATTGTGGGGACGAAAAGTGCCTTTCTGTCTTTTAAAATAATCTCATGAGATTAGAGGAAAGTAATGCCTCTTGAGCAAGAGATAGTATGCACTAGATCTGACTCAATGGAAATGAGTCACATCAGAAATCCGTTAACCTGGCCTTTTCTGCAGTTAGTAACTTGGATTTGCTGCTACCACTCACTCTGTTTTTTTAATTGAAACACCTTGTCAGAGTATGGCAGTAAGTTCAATAATGTGAAAAAGACTGTTCATATGGGGTCATTAAATAAGCTGTGTATTTTTCTGTGCGTATGTCTTACCCAGGTGACCCACTTCTCTGTTGTTCTGATGGCCAAAGACTTCAACCCAGAGAAATATGCAGCCTTCACTAGGATACTGTGTAGGTCTGTATAAAAGCTGGTTTGAGTTACTGCTGTGTGCGTGTTTAGACCTTGCTAAGGCAGAAGATTAAATTTGGGTGTATAAATGTGTATGGTGGGCATCTTGCATCCCTCCACAACTTCTCTACTACAGACGCTTCCTGCAGCTCCTCTGAACTAGGCACAGCACCCAGGGATATTTTTGCTTTTACTCTAGGAAAACGAGAGCCCTCTGCTTCTCAGAGTCTGTGGCTCTGTCTTCCCCCTTATTCCAACCAGACTACCATCATCTTCCCTTGTCCCGTTTACTCACTTTCCTCCATGTCCTCATTCTCATGATCTTCCTCTACATCTTTCTTCGCTTTACATTCAGTTCCCAAATTAGTTGGGTCCTGGTTTTTGATACCAATAATATTCCCTAAGATTTTGCAGCTAATTGGAGGCAACTGTGAGGTTATTGTATCACAGACTTGGGAATGCCGCCAAGCTTACCAGTTCTGCAGGATATTGAAAAACTGAGATTGTTCTTTTTCACTGATATATGAATTATTTAGATTCACCCTGGATCACATTAATCATGATTTATCAGCTAGTATTTCTTTTCAAATCCATGATGGATTCCTCTAAACATGATAATTGAGTTTCAAATGTCACATAGCTTTGTGCTGCAACTAATATGGAAAACATGTAGTTGAGAGTTTCGGTGCTATTCCTGAAGTACCTTAACCCATAAAATAGGTTATGGTATCTCTCTGCTGTCTGCAAGACAGCTGAAAGTGCATGGGTTTTGTAGGTGTGTAGTTGTTTTGTGGTGGTGGGGTTTTTTTTAATGAGTATCAAGGACATATGTTTATATTTTTCTTTCATCATTTAATAAAGTACGGAAGAGTGTCTGATGATACTTGGATAAAAACTGAAAAACTAACTAGTCACATCATCTGCATGTAGTTCCAGGAGTTACTGTACTAGTTTCTTTTTCATAAAGCAGGTACCTTCCAAGTCTGCAAAGAATCCCTAGTCTGGACACCTGCTTACACCTTTGTCCTACGTTTCTATGTTGGTTCTTTCATAAAATAGGAAACTCAAAAATACAAAGTAGGTTTTTTTTATCCCACAATACAGACATGTTTTTGTGTGCATGTTGAAAGACTTCTAGTTTAGTATTTAAAGCCTCAATCAGGTGTCCAAAAGATATATAATAAGAATTCTTGCCAATTATACTGCTGTTTGTGATAGTGTGATTTCTTTTTTCATGTCTGCTGGTACTGATTGAAGTCAAAATACTGGACTCTTTTCACACAGAATCTACTTGAAGCATGGAAGTCCAGTTAAAATGATGGAGAGTTACATTGCAGTCCTTACAAAGGGGATCTGCCAAAGCGAAGAGAATGGGTCTTTCCTCAGCAAGGATTTTGATGCTCGGAAGGCTTATCTTGCTGGTTCCATCAAAGGTTAATTAATACCAAAAGTCTCTATTCTGATTTCTTTTGTACAATATAAAATACAATCCGGTTTTCATGTGTACTTCAAGTAAATACTGTTAACAGTATTATCTGTGCTGTTATTATTAAGCTTCTTCAGAAAGCAAATGGTAATATCAGGATGTATATCTTCTATAAAATACCTTTCCCCTCTTTTCTAGATATAGTATCTCAGTTTGGAATGGAAACAGTTATCTTGTATACAGCACTGATGTTAAAGAAGAGAATAGTAGTGTACCATCCTAGAATAGAAGCTATCCAGGAGTTTACCAGGTACTCTGTCAATCCCCACCTCCTCTCCCATCCCCAAAAGTCCAACAAGTCTTGAACCTTCATTGAGAGAAATGCCCATAATTTAGGGGAAAAAAAAATATCTTAAACCTGTTTATTAAAATCCTGCAAAATCCCTCTTAAGCCTTTAGCCATGTGTTACGTCAACACAGAGAAATTTAACTGTAGAATGAGTGAGAAACTCTGCTTGTACTTGTAGCAGAAATCTCTGTAGTTCGCGTATGTGCATGCCAAATGAGACCTAGTCATTACTAGCTCTTCCTTACGACATACGTTTCATACTGTGAATCTTTCATTAGTATAGGTAAAAATCTACTGTGTGTCAAATACAGACACAAATACTGTGTGTCTAATTTCCCTAGGACTTTGCCTGCTTTAGTGTGGCATCGACAAGATTGGTCAATTCTTCATTCATACGTACATCTAAATGAGGAAGAAGTGGAAGCCTTAAAAGCCTGTACAGGTAGTGATGATTTATTAATCAAAAAAATATAAAACTTAATTTCTGTTTCTGTTGCTGGAAGGTCTTGCACCAGTGCTCTTTGGGGAGGGGTGGAGGAATAATGGTTAGTTTGCTATTAATGCTGTTGCTCAAAGTTAAACAGCATAATTTTCTTTAGAAAAGGCAAATCAACTAAACAAATATGTCAGAAGGTAACTAGTTAATCTGGTGTTTCTGGGTGCGTTCACATCAGTCTACCCCTAATTGCAGATGCAAAGCAGCTTTCAGACTTTTTTGGTATTGTGATCAGAGGGATTGAAAGTCTTACTGTTGTACAGAAGCAGCTCATTTTAGATAAGCTACTTCTTTTTTTCCCTAACTTCTACGCACAGTTAGTAACTGAATCTTTAGGATTTTTCTTTTTTTTTCAGTTCCTAACTCTGAGGTTTCAAATTTTTGTTCTGACTGCTGCCAGTGAAGTCTCTAGCTCCTAATCACAGGTAGACTTTAGCAGCTATGTCAGAGTTTGATCTGTGTGACACATTACTGTGTATGCGTAGTACTTAACACATAATCCAGGAAGAGGCCCTTGGTTTATGCAAAGGCTAGCATGACACATAATGTGGCAACTGAGAGGCTTCTCTATATGCAATAATGAGCAAGAGGGCTACTCATCTTCAGTATTTCTACTGCATTAACAACAGTGCTTATTTTGGCTCACTAAACATCTTCCACAGAGAAAAGCTGCTCTAAGTTTGCTCACCTGGCATGCTATAAATTATAAAATCTGCTGGGTTTATTCCTCTGTTCCAATCTAATACTGACTTAGACAGTGACAAGACTCTTAGAACAGACTTTAGGACTCTGATTTTCCACAATATCTTGGTTTTGTTTATGAAGATCCTAATCCTGCCAAAATTCTGCTCTTTAGGTTACATTGCTGGATTTACAGATTCTGAAGTGAACAGTAGACCAGACCTCTATGATGTGTATGTGAATTTGGCAGATAGTGAGATCACAGTTTCCCCTGTAGTAAAAGGTTGGTTGCTTTTTATATTTTGGATTTAGAGGCTGTGTATTTGAGAGTTGACAGTAATCGCTGAACCTTGCGGTAGGTCAAGCAATCTTGATCCTTCTTCCATCCAGGTTCTGAAAAGTCAATATGTAAGCTTCTGTCTTTCAGTTTTATTGAGACCCTGGAAGACTGGTGAAAATCGGAATTTGGAAAGACACGCTTCGTCTTCCAACAGATGTGCAATTGAGATTTCAAAACATCCACATTAGGCAATTATGTGAAAGACAATTACATTCAGCTGAATGCAGAGATACCACATTAGTATTTAGAAAAACATTGCACTAAATACTTAAAGATTGGAGACTATTTGAAAGGAAAACTTTTATGTTGCATGTCATCTTACTGCTCCTTGTCACCTGCGTAGGGCCACTTTAGTGATAGACAATTTGTCTGTGCTGTCATAGCTGTTGATAGGTCAGGTTACTGCCTTTACTGATGGATTTCACATGGCAGTCATGAAGACGACTCCTTGTTTTGGCTTGTTGTTCATAGGCATTTCTAGATATCACAGAAATTGTCATTTTATGTGAATGTGTGCTTTTGCTTTTTTTTTCTCTTACTCAGAGGCAATGACAATGGGAAAACTTCACAAAGAAATTGGACAACTAATTGTTCAATCTGCAGAAGATCCAGATAAATCGGACAGCCAAGTCATTAAGGTTAATACTTTATTTTTAAACCTAGCTGAATTACGTCTCTTGCTAAATCTTGGTGGAAGGGTGGGAGTAGGAGGAATATTGTCCCTGAGAATCAGTCAATCTTTTCTCCTCTCTGTGTCTTTACAAATGAGCATTTTTATTCTCGTACGGGTTTTTAAGGATGACATACTTGGTATATATTATCTCTTGGGTAACCACATTGCTGAAGAAACTTCAGAAATTGTATTGATTATAAGACTTCCAGTAAAATTAGTTTCCCAGTTTTATTCTACAAAGCACGTATTTTGCTCAATACCTTCTCAATAGTATTGTCGATACCTTTGTAAAAGTCCTACAAAGGTATGGCTTCTCAGCCATAAAACCCGATTTTTATGATGATTTTTTTTTTCGCTTCCTCCCCTATCAGACATCTCACAGCTGAGCGACTTGGTGAAAAGAGCTCAGTTAGGCCAGTGAGAGGAGCCTGTGGATTGCCTGTGTTCCCTTTATTCAACGTTACACAACAGCAGGCTGAAAAGCTGTTGCAAGTTTGCCTTAAAATAAATGGGGTCTTTATTTAAAATGAGTAATTTATTCAGCTTATTTTCTTTTTGTTCTGTATTGATTTTTATTTTTTTTCCCAATAAGTGTGTGTTAAAATATTATAATACCTAATACTATATTCACGGTTACTTGTTTTTCTGTTCTTGAAGGATATTTCTCTGAAGACAAAAGAAATCTTGGCTACTTTAGCCTCACTTACTGAAGTTTCCGATGGCAATGAAAAACCAACCCTTAACTCTGAGGCCCTGAAACAAAAGCGATTTCCACCAGCCACAGAAAACTTCCTTTTTCATTTAGCAGCTGCTGAACAAATGCTCAAAATCTGATTTTGATGCAGTGCAGTGTTATGGACCAATTTAAAAATATTGTCATTGCCATACAGATAGGAATACCTGATATTTTATATGGAAAAATTAAAGGTATAAGAGTGAATGTTATATTTACCGTGATGTAATGCAGAATATCGGAGCTTGACCTGGAACATATGGGAATCATATTTGGGAACTTTCCTGTTTTCGTTATCTTCCCCGACTATAACTTTGTATATGTGGCTCCCGTATTTCGTATTGCAACGTGGGTGTGTATACAAGTGGCGTGGGCCCATGTGTCTGGGCTGTGCCAGACATTATTATTGTGGCCGTTTGTCCTGCAGGTTCCAGCTGTCAGTCAGTTTTGTTCTGGTTCTGACTTGCCTTCCTGGGGTCTGGAACACGGGCTGCAGCACACGTGCTGTACAACCAACGCGGTTTGGATGCGCTCGTCTCTGCACAGCGCTACGCTGAACACGCAGTTGGTCTGAGGGCTCGTTCTGGGCTTCCAGGTACGTCAGCCTCTCGGATACTGCTCGTGCTGTGGACTGCCTGATACCTGGAAATCCCAAATAAATGGATGAGTTCTCTTCTTTCTACTTGAAAGTGTCTAGGTGTAAAAAAGGATGACTGGGAAAATCTGACATGGTAGCCTTACTATATAAAGGAAGAGGTATTTTAAAGCTCGAGTGGGAGTTGAACGCCTCTTTTTGACTCTTGCCTTAGTGGTTTTCCCCCTTTCACTCCGTCCCATGCCTCTGATGGAGGGAAAAGAGGACAGGATTGCTATATCTAAAATGGGGCTTCCTAGAGGGGTCAGAAACAAGTGCTGCTTTACAGCTGGAGTCATTGAAGAAGTTTTTAGGGTTCTCTGCTGAGAAGGTACCTGCCCATTCATTCCTGATCCATTTGATGGAAAATCGGATGGGTTAAAGCCTAACGGGCTAGAAGTGTTCAAATGGCCAGGTACCGCTGGTGGAGCACTCTCCACTTCAACTGCTTGAGCTGTAACACAGGTACTATCTGATGGTGCTCTGTGTAAGTTAAATGTAGATGGAAACTTTTAAAGTAATAGTGAAAACTGGGAAATAGTTTAGAAAAAATTAAAATTTGCCTACTTGTTTGGTTGCATAGCCATAACTCAAGAGTTTTGTGTTTTGTTTGGTTTTTTTTTCCATTGAGCAACCCGAAACTAACTGCTTTATAATATTCTGAGAAGAACTTAGATTCTTGGTAGGGAAATACTCTGAGCCAAGCAATCTGTATTTCTTCAGAAGCGTCCACAGCAAATCAGTCAATTCTGCAGTAGCACTTTGTTGTAAGAAAAAAGAACCTTTTTCCTGGCCTTTGTACAGATAGGCTGTAGCATGTGGTTTTACATAGAGATTTTATACTTATGAATAAAACTTTAGTAGTCAATATTTATACTGTTAAATAATTGGATGTTTGCTATTCTGAAACTGGTAGAGCTCAATAACTATGTGCAAGCAATATTGGTTTGAAAAAGGGTTGTCCTTTTGCTATGTATCATAAGTTAAGGAAATCTGTTTTGGAATGTGGATAAGGAATGTGATGTCTATGTATAAAATGGGTAGTTATTACAGTCAGTAAATGAAAGTGCTTCAGAATAATCCCCTATTTTCAGGGGTGTAAAATTCTTCTTTAAACACTCACTCTGCAGTTTAAATTCTGAACGCAGAAGCATGGGCTATTTTTTTTAACTTCTGAGAAAAATACTGCAATTGCCTTTGTTTACCTCTAAGTGCTCTGCAGCTTTTTTTTTTTTTTCCCCATGTACCCATTAATGTCTGTCTTAATGGTTCTTTAGTATTGCTGCTTCTGGTTTAGGACTCTCACAACAGTCGGAATAGCGGAACTGCAAAATTATGCTGAAAATTCCATTCAAGACCTACTTTAAAGTCCACTTAAACGGAAGTCTTTCACCAAGAGAAATCTGAACATGCTTTCAGTCGGTTGTCTTAACAGCACATTGTAACTGGGAAGAAATTCACGTGGTTTCTTATTAACAAAAAGCCTTAAGGTGTATCATTAAGGTCGTATGGGTGTTAGACAACCGAAAGCAGAGAAGCTCAGTTACAAAGTAAATGTTGAATGCTTTCTTTGCTTTCTGTTTTGGAAATGTTTAAGTTGAAAATCTCGGTGTTGTGTTAAATCTTGTATTCTCACGTTTGTGCAAAACAAATGAAATATAATTTTGCACTTAAGGAACTGGACTCATAGCACGCTTGTGTCTATTAAAAAAAAAAAAAATCCTGAACAGTCTACCCTTTAATTTATGTAAATGTATTCTTGAATAGTTGTGACCACTGAGTCACAGGCCTTGGCTCTTAATTTCGCAACACTGGGATGAAGCTACAGCTTGATGTTTGGGTCAGAAATGTACTTCTGCGCATTCAAACAGTTTTGTCATCTGTGCTGATTTTTTTTTTTTTTTTTTTTTGTCAGCACTGAGAAGGATGTATTGGCCTCCCTCAGCTTCAGTACTTTCAAAAGATTGTCCTAATGTTCTTGCATTTTTCGTAATGATTTTTGCCACTGTTTCCTCTCAAAAATGTTTAGAATAAAATGGAAAAATCTGCAAGGTCAGGACAGGGAAAGATTTCTGCTTATTTCTCACTTCCCTTTCCCCAGGATGTGTACAAGCAGACTGTGTGTGCAGTTGCTGGTTTTGCAAAGTCAGATGACATCCTTTCTTCTTCCTCCTAGAAGCAAAGACTGTGTAGGATGAAATTTTCATTCATACCTTCTCATCGTACTGCCCTTTTGTTCTTGGATAAATACGAAATGGTGAACGATGGTTCCTGTCGACCTGCTGAGAGATGTGCCTCCAAAAGGCACGCAGCACATAGAAGAATTGAAAGCCTTGAATTTAAATGAAGTTGTAGCGCTGCCCCTTCCTCAGTTGTGGCAAAAGGTACTCCCTGAGCACTCAGCTTTGGTCGCTGCCCATGTGAACCCGTTAGTGTGGTGGTGGCTAAAACATCTGCACTCTGCAGATACTGGAAGGTAGACAGTGAACAGAGCGAAGGCTTGCGAAGGGGAGCGGGATAAACAGTTGATCTCTCTAGTTGTGATTTTGCTGAGTAAATTAGACAAGTCCCTTAAGGCTAACTCTGTTTTTAATGATGTCATCCATGGAGTTTTAGGCCCTGGTATGGGCTGGCCTGCCTCGTTTCCTCTGGGGGGAATGTTCCAATTGAGAGCAACACGATGCTGTGTAACCTGGAAAAAAAATGGATACAGGACATCTGACAGCATCCATCTTAAAACTCTGGGCTGCTTCTGATTTCAACCTCGGGCTGCTTCACTTCCCAGCTACTGGAAGGGCTAAGGCGGGTTTGTGAGTAGCATGTTGTGAGATGTTGCTTGAAACAGCTAAATTTCTAGACGTAAAGCAAGCTGTAAAGCTCAGTGTAGGAAGTTTGCAGCTGCCTCATGCTGCCGCAACCCTCCCCTGGGCAGCTGTCTGGCTGTCATCCCGGTCGGAGAGATCTTCAGCCAGGTGAGGTCATTCCTTGTAGCTGCCAAATGATGTGAGACACAGGAGGAGACTCCAAAAACCGGGCAAGAGCTGCTTCCTGAGTGATGCTGTGCAGCACGTGGCCTCGTGTTCGCTGTCTCACCGGGCAGGAGCCGCAGTGCGGGGCTCCCTCCCTGCCTGCATCCTTCCTTCCTCCTCCCCGATGGCCCGCGGGGAAACAGCATGGCAGTGGGGGTAACACGGGGACACCAGCTCCAGCTGGCGAACTGCTTTGATCTCAGTATTTCCTAACATGGGAGTGGTTGATCTCATTTTATTTTTTATTTTTTTTTTAAGCCACATTAAAGGGATCTGGAAGCCTCATTGTATATTCCTATATTTCAAGAGGAGAAGCTGGGTAGGCGGGGAACTGCTACCGTGATTTACATTTTCCTTGAAGCTGAAAGCTTCCATTTATTGTAGTTTACCACACCTTAAACTGGTTCCACCACTTGTGTGCCATCACTCGACCCACCAGCCAGTGCTTGAGGCCGGAGACAGACCCGCCTTGGGCTGGTATGTTGTTAATCTATTCCAGGTTACAAAGGGGAAGGTTTTCCTGTAGGTGCTGACTCTCCTCCCAAGTCTTTCAAACATGAGGCTTTTCTGCTTGTCCCAGTCATTCCCTTCACTTATCTCATCCCTCTGGACTACCAGGAGTCCGGTCCCGGCAGGTCTAGTCTCTAACGACTTTATTTCAAGACAGAGGATGCCAGGGCCTTTTTAGCAACATATTTTCCCTGCCCCGATTTGGGCAGCAGCTGAATCGCCCAGGCTGACAAGTTAAATGGCAGATGCCCGCCCTCCCTTTCTGGAAAATTCCAGTTAGGGCAAAAGAAACATTGCTGAGAATGGGGGAAAGGAAAGAGGTATTTAATAACCCTGAGGGGTTGTGTTTAATATGGCAAATTTCAGCTTGAGCATTCAGTAAGAAGGTGGCAGAGTTTGATAATGGGCAGCTGTAATAACAGACATTATTATCAGACCTATTCCATAAGCCTTACTCACACAGTTGTAATGACATCAATTTACTTAAAACGTCCAAGTGTGGTGCCAGAGAATTTATAGCTTGTCTAGTTACCATGACGATTCAAAGTTCGTGAACGTGTTATTTTCAATTTGTTGGCTTTTTTCCTGTTATTTCTTAGTGTTTTGATTTTTTTTTTTCTGTTTGCTTCCCCTGTGGTTCATGTAACTAGCATTTACTTCAGCCATTCTTAAAATATGATTAAAAAAGGAGCGGGGAGAGGTGTGGGTCTTCATTGTAGTGCCAATTAATGTTTACTGAGAGTGGAATTAGATCCCTTCTTAGTTTGCCTTTGGTATGTTGTTGAAATAGGATTAATAGAGAACCCGGGGCTTAGAGAATTTAACTGTAGGATGTTACCTGTGTTACTAAAGATTTGGAGGGAGACAAACGCCTCCATGAGAGAGGCAGGCTGAGACGATGAGCCTCTTCCACCCATCCCTGTGCTATCCAAGGACAAAGAGCAGGGCAAGGCTCCTTCTCCCTGCCGTCCTCCCAGCGCGGGAGAGCCGAGCCTGCTGCGATCTTTTCTTCTTGTGTCTCCTTCCGGCTGCCGTCGGAGATGAT